TTCTAAAGCACCATAGTTGTGTGAATACTAAGAAATAACCTATAATAATGTGGAGTTCATATTATTGAGGGGCCATAAACAAACCCTATTCATATTCAGTTTGAATGCAACATTCTTTACTCTAATGGCTCATTATTCAAGAAAAAACCTCCTTTTCGCGTTATGCAAGTTCGAAAGGGTTGGGGTAATCGAGACATTACTTTGAGGATGGCCTTAAGGAATTTCCCGCAGAAAAATAGAACTTGCTTAATGGACATTTGAGCATTAGTGGTTAACAAAAATAATCGATAATTTCAATGACCTACGATAGGCATTTAGATCGGCACAAAACCATCTTGCCCTCGTTGCCCCTCTCCCTATTATATAATCGTTGCTTAGCAGTAATTTTCGTAACAGAACACATAGTCAATCAGTAAGACTTTGAATTGAATTACAGACGACCAGACAAACGAGACACGGAGCAGATTTACTTTTATTCCAAGTTCAGGTTAGTAGTACTGTCTTTGTACTTTCATTGGCAACTCTAGATTTTTCACGCAAATCGAAATATCATTTTCAAAACAGCACCGATAGCTTAGACTTTGATGGATTTGATATTATTTGAAACAGAACAAATTCTGTACAAAACTTAGTTCAGGGTTGAGTTTTTGACCACAAAAAGGAAAAAAACTTGTTTTAAACTGGTCAAAACGTTAAAATATTGTTGAATCTACCCCCCAAGGTTAGTTTGATGTGGTCTTGAGTAGTGTACACTACACACTATACATGTAATAATAATATTACACCGACCACCGTTGACTTTGTCTAAATTCCCTGGTTAAAACAGACCAACGTTAACTTTGTCTAAATTCCCTGGTTAAAACAGACCAACCCTAACTTTATCTAAATTCCCTGGTTAAAACAGACCAACGTTAACTTTGTCTAAATTCCCTGGTTAAAACAGCCCAACCCTAACTTTGTCTAAATTCCCTGGTTAAAACAAACCAACCCTAACTTTATCTAAATTCCCTGGTTAAAACAGACCAACGTTAACTTTGTCTAAATTCCCTGGTTAAAACAGACCAACGTTAACTTTGTCTAAATTCCCTGGTTAAAACCAACCAACGTTAACTTTATCTAAATTCCCTGGTTGAAACAGACCAACGTTAACTTTGTCTAAATTCCCTGGTTAAAACAGACCAACGTTAACTTTGTCTAAATTCCCTGGTTAAAACCAACCAACGTTAACTTTGTCTAAATTCCCTGGTTAAAACAGACCAACTCTAACTTTATCTAAATTCCCTGGTTAAAACCAACCAACGTTAATTTTGTCTAAATTCCCTGGTTAAAACAGACCAACCCTAACTTTGTCTAAATTCCCTGGTTAAAATAGACGAACCCTAACTTTATCTAAATTCCCTGGTTAAAACAGACCAACGTTAACTTTGTCTAAATTCCCTGGTTAAAGCAGACCAACGTTAACTTTGTCTAAATTCCCTGGTTAAAACAGACCAACCCTAACTTTGTCTAAATTCCCTGGTTAAAATAGACGAACCCTAACTTTATCTAAATTCCCTGGCTAAAACAGACCAACGTTAACTTTGTCTAAATTCCCTGGTTAAAGCTGACCAACGTTAACTTTGTCTAAATTCCCTGGTTAAAACAGACCAACCCTAACTTTATCTAAATTCCCTGGTTAAAACAGACTAACGTTAACTTTGTCTAAATTCCCTGGTTAAAACAGACCAACGTTAACTTTGTCTAAATTCCCTGGTTAAAACAGACCAACCCTAACTTTATCTAAATTCCCTGGTTAAAACAGACCAACGTTAACTTTGTCTAAATTCCCTGGTTAGAACCTACCAACGTTAACTTAAATTCAATTTTATAATAGTTCTTACCAAAAAAAGATCAGTCTAATTATAACAAGACCAAACTTTCTTTCCATTATTTACTAGCTTTTATTTTTAATAAGTTTTATATTTTCAATTAGACTGATAGACTATTTTCACTGAATTTTCTGTTACGACGCTTTGAAATTCCATCAAGGGAGATGACTACAATTAAGCATATTCGACCTTCAAGTCTCAAACAAAACGAAATGACTACGCCCTCCAAACAAAAAAAGAAAATTATGAAATATTTTGTATCTTTAGGTCCATAATAAAACAATCCAGTATATTAGTTATAGTGGTCTTGGTAGTGACGATGTCTGGTACACCTCGTAAGGGCGTATCCTTTCGTTTCATTTATGGCGATTTTAAGTGTTCTATTAAAGAATCGCCTAAGCGCGGCCCTGTACCAAATGTATGTAATTGCAAACATAGAGATGGGATCATCAAAGAAAAAGACTTTAGTTGTACCTACAGAGGAAACCCACACCATTGTAGTGACTACAATAAAGAACAGGAAAAGTTTTACAAACAACTGGCAAAAAAAGCTGTTGACAAAATGTGTGGGCTTCAAACTATTACTGCCGACATGTGTCCAGATGTAGCATTTAACCTTATAGACTGTAAGCTGTCTCTGAGTAGTGGACAAAGGGGAAACAGA